CATACAGAGAAATCGAGGGCGTAATATTGGAGAAGTTGAAACCAGTTCATCTAAAACATCTCTTACTGAATTGGAAAACCCTTCTTGGTCCTCCTTGTTGATGTCTCCTTCACAGATAACCATAACAGTCACCATCAGCGCCAGCAGCAGGCCATATTCAAGGTGGTTCTTGTACTCCTGTCGAAGCTCCTGTCGGGAGAAGGGCACGGCAGTCTTCCCCGCTTCTGTGACACCGAGGAAAGCCGAGAAGTAGGTGTCTAGGAATGTGTCAAGGTTTGTCTTCCTTACATGGCCTTCTAGACTTGTGTGGAAGAGGTAGGTGAGGTCGGTGGCGAGGGATGTCTGGCGGCACAACTGTAGGTCTAGTAACATAACCTCCACAGGAACCTCTTCTTCATTATATCTGAAACGTAAGACGAATTCGCTATTAGAAATCACTCTTGATTATGTAATTGCGTTAATACAACCTTAAAATCAATAATGTGAAAAAAATAAACTAACATTTATAAGTACCTGAAGAGCATGTTATTGTTCCAGCAGTCACCGTGGCACAGCACGTCAAAAGGCGGGACTCTTTTGGAAACGGTGCCCAGTATCTCTAACACTCTACCCTTGTTTCTGCCGAGCCAGTTCTCCGCCACTTCGTACCCTCCCACTTTATTCAGCATATCTTTAACTCTGTCCATCTGCTTAGAAAATGTCCTATGCATTACATCCCTTGCGTCATCAGCATAGTTCAGCCAATCCAGATTCAGGACTGGGTACTTCTCGGCAAGGTCTGGGATCTTGGCCTTGAGAAGGTATGAGGCTGCGTGGAGTCTGGCCAGTTCCTCGAGGACGAGCTTGGTGTGGGCGACGTCCATGCCTTTCTTGCGGTCGAACATCTTGAATCCTCTGGGGCGAAGGTCCTCCAGGAAGACAACTTCTTGATTTTCTTTTAAGGACGTGTGGAAACACCGAGGAACTCTTAGAGGAGTTTGGCCAGCTTCTTCTAACTGTGACTGGATTTCATGCACCAGATATTGGTAAAAAAGTGTTTCCTTTCTAAATATAACCCTAGCGAACTTTTCAAATGCTTTAAAAGATCTAGGGTTGTACTTCACCACATAGGAAGCCTTATGGTCTGTTTCACAAAGCGTGTAATTCACAATAACTCTGGCCACAAGCGTTGCATAGTTGTCTCCTTTCTTGGTGAATTCCTGCACCGTGAAGGAGACGAGGCGAGCGTCGCTTCCCTTGTCGTTCTTGAGCGCCGCCTCGACGCTCTCCTGCGTGATCTCGCTCGGACGAAATTCAGCTGGTGCATCGTTGGTCTCCACTGGAAGATTGGGATAGAATGGAATATGTAAAAGGTAATGACCAACGTGATCTATTATGAAAAGTAAACAAACATACAATATAATGTCATATTCATTCTTCAGTTTGAGTGTGAGTATAGATGTATGGCATGCACATCAGCACGATATGTGCAAGCCATTTGACCAGAAGACCACGTGTGTTTCATGTTTGACTCTATGTCAATTTGGAACCATCACCTCATCGGGACCGAGATGGCGATTCACCCCCCCTTGTCACGGCCGGATAAATCTGGCAGTCCAGTGTGCGGAAGCAAGCATCACCTAGGAAAGAGCCGCTGAATAAAAGGGGGACATTCTCCATGCCTCGACAGAAGGAGTCTTGTTTGCATCCACTCGCCTTGAAGCGAATAAAGTCGAAAGCCAAGGCCACTTTCACTATCCGCCTTACGTCCATCTCTCGTGTCGTTCGCACACACACGTGTGTCTGTGTGTATGTGTATATGTGTATATGTGTGTATGTATGTATGTATGTATATTCACACTTACATACATATTTGTATACTATGTGCGTATAAACATATATGTTTAAAAATGTAATATACATATGCATATGTATATATAATTATATATTTTTCTATGAATATAAATACGCACACAAACACACACATATATATGCAACTAACAAACTTCATACTCACTTGTCTCAGAAAGTGAAGAAGAAGCCGATTCGAAGGCTGCAGGGTTGCCTCTGCACTGCCGTTTGCTTGGTTGATCAGGCTGGGTTCGTGCACTCGCAGTTGCCAGGCGTGTTTAGATACAGACTAGTCCTCCGTTTTCTCATCCGAAGAACATTGACATTATCATTTTTTTTTTTTTTTATCATTATTTTATTATTTTTTTTACAGTTTCAGCTCCTGTGGTATTAATTCCTTTTCCCTTTTAAGTCTGGAGAAGGTTTGGTTATTAGATGGATAGTTTTAGTGACCAAATTTACATGCAAGAATTTCATCGTATGATATCGTTTGTTTTGTGACGAGTTTTTTTTTCAGGATGCATGTACTTTAAAGTTCTTCCGTTCCTGCTGTAGTTCATTCTCATAGGAACAATAAGTAGATAATTTGATGCACAAAATATCTAAAGTGATGTAAGCACTGATACAAATTTGTGAACATTTCTACTTTTGTATTCATTGAGAAATGATT